CTGGGAGCTGTTCTCCAGGGACGGGGAATCCCTGTTGGGAAGGGGCTCGTTGCTGCAGCCGGGCACAGCCCCTGGGGCAGTACCTTTGGCACTGAGAGCTGCTTCCCTGGCCAGGCCTCCCGCACTTCGTCCGGCAGCCGGAGAGGCTGAACGTGAGCAGGGGCCGCCCGTTCAACCTGACGTGCCAGGCCGTGGGGCCGCCGGAGCCGGTGAGCATCTTCTGGTTCCGCAACAACGTCCGCCTCAACGAGCAGCCCCTCGTGTCCCCGTCCGTGCTGACCGTGCCAGGTGAGCCCAGCTGGGGCACCTCTGGGTGGTGGCAGGAAGGAGGGCGGGGTGGGAAGGCGCCCCGTGTCACCTCAGAGCCGGTCCCGCTGGCCTCGCGCTCCTGTTATAGGGATATAGGGTATATGTGTTCCTGTCACAGCCCTGGGCACCACTCTTAAATCATGGGATATTCCGAGTTGGAAGGGACCCACAAGGATCACCGAGTCCAGCTCTCAAGTGAATGGCCCAGGAAACCCCATCCAAGCCCCTCTGGCTGCTGCCAGAAATTTCTTCCTTGGAAAAGGCAGATGCTCAAATGGCCCTTCCCTGAGCAAGAAGCAGATTTTTTCCTTCAGTGTGTGGCTGTGCCGACAAGAAACTGCTGCTCTCATGGGCTGCTTGACTGGTGGTCCCCTTTCCCTGTCTCTGGAAGAGCCTGGGATGGTCCCAGCAGCGTGTCTCCATTCCAGCCGGTGGAGCACAGGGAGAAAAATCCTTCGTGTCCCATAAAACCCATTGGGCAGAGGCAAAAGAGGGGGGATTTTTTACCTTTGCTTGTGAGGAGAAGGCCATTAGTTAATTAACAGCCAGGCTATAACTGACTGGTCTTGGCATCCAAAGGCGGCCTTTAAAGGGCAGCGAAAGCAGGAAGAAGTGACTCATTCCTCTTGGATGTCCTTGCATCCGGCTGGCACTCACTCGGTTGGGTCACTGGAACAGTCTTGCTCCTGGCCCAGGAGCACTGGGATGAGCCAGCACTCATGGCACGTCCGTGGCAGCAGCAACCAGGAGGCACCTCCAGTAAACCCTTGGCAAAAGGGCCAGAAATGCTGAGCCCAGGGGGAAGCCAGCAGCCATCCCCCCCCCCTGCCCCGGGTATTTCCAGTGGTCCTTGTCTGTGATCAGCTGGAGATTTGAGCAATCTTTGACAAGCAATCAGTCATCTGACCCAGCCCAGGGGCTCTTCTGCTTTCTGCCTTTCCCCTTTTGAGGGCAGAGGGAAAGGGGAGGTTGTGCAAGGGCCCGGTAGGGACGCACCGTGCCGGGCCCCGCTCCGGCGGCACACGCGTGTTCCCGGTGTGGGACGGGGCTGAGCTGGGCCGTGGGGTCACCCCCGGGCACGAGTGCCACACATGTGAACGACAGGCCTTCTGTGCTGCTCGAGGTGGTGAAGTCTAAGGGAGGAAGGCAGGAGGGTTCTGGTGGGGTTGGGTGCGTGTCCAGCGCGCAGGGACGTGTTTCTTCCCTGCAGGAATCAACGAGACGACGCTGTTCAGCTGCGAGGCCCACAACAGCAAAGGGCTCACGGCGTCCAGCCCCGGCCAGGTCAACGTCAAAGGTCAGCCACGGGACCCTCCCTTTCCCTGCTAAACCCGTGTGTCCAAGCAGGAGCTCTCCACACTTCCAAGCACTCGTCCCGCACAGGCTGAGGGGAGATCCCATTTAGGACTCCCAGACTTATTTTTTTTCCCTGTTTTAATCCTGTATTTGAAGTGGGATCTACATCCATTCCATCATCCCGGGCTTGGGGAGGAAGCACCAAAGAGCACATTTGAAAGCAGAACTTTCAGCCCTGGGTTTAGGAAGGGCTGCATCACTCTTTTCCTTCCTTCACGAACGTTCACAATTTTCCACAGGAAATGGTGGAAATTGCTGACATTCCTAACGGGAGCCACTCCGGCAACACGAGGAAGGTGTTCCCCAAATATGTCATTGCCTCTAAGCAACGCAGAGTGCTCACAAATATAGAACATGCTCAAAATAGTCCTGAAAATGACCCTTTTTGTGCTTCCCCGTCTGGCGGTCCAGCCCATCCGCAGGACTCGGATTGGGGACAACGCAGCAGCCGGAGCCAGGGCCGTGCCTGGGGGTCATTCCTGAACCCCAGGAGCTGCCAGGGAAAGCCAGCACGTCCTTCAGCTGAGTGTCCTTGGTTTCTCCCTGCAGGAATCCCATCTGCGCCCGTCAGCGTGCGTGTCCTCAACAGGACGGCCCACGGCATCGGGATCTCCTGGGAGCCGGGCTTTGATGCCTTCTCTGCCTTCAACAGCTGCAGGGTCCAGGTAAACATCCAGGATTCCCCCCTGTCCCTCAGCCCTCCTCACACGGATGCTCCGAGGCAGGTGGGAGTTGGTGGTGTTTGGCATGAACTGCACGGATTTCTTGGAATCCTGGGATGGTTTGGGTTGGAAGGGACCTTTAAAGATCACCTTGTGATGCCCATGTCCCATGGGCAGGGACATCTTGCTCCCAGCCCCATCCAACCTGGCCTTAGACACTTCCAGGGATGAGGCAGCCACAGCTTCTCTGGGCAACCTGTGCCAGGGCCTCCCCACCCTCACAGCCAAGAATTCCTTCCCAATATCCCATCTAGCCCTGCCCTCTGTCAGTGGGAAGCCATTCCCCCTTGTCCCCTCACTCTCTGCCCTTTTCCAAAGCCCCTCTCCAGCTCTCTTGGAGTCCCTTTCCTCATGGGCAAGACAGTCAGGTTGTCATTTTCATGGAGAGACTCCCAGAAATGCTCCAAGGAACTTTTTTGGAAGCCTGGAGTTGCTGCAGCCACTTGCTCATCCTGGTCAAACACTTCCCAAACCAGCAGCATTCCCAGTGGGGTTTGGAGAGAGGAAGGTTTCCCTCAGCTCCCCACTCCTTACAAACACTGGGAAGGAGCTGAGGGGTTGCCTGTCTCCTGGACAAGTCAGGGAATGCCACTTCCATGCCCTGCAGGCCTTTTCCACCTGCTCTCCGTGGCTGGTTTCCCAGTTCAAGCCCATTTGCTCTCACGGATATGGTTTTTATCCTGGATAGTCTCCACTCCAGCTGAGATGACACGTGGCTGGAGGAGGTGTTTGAAGGCAGGTAAAAGTGAAAGCAGTTCCAGGGAGGGAAGGTACCAGAGCTAATATTAGCATGGTAGCTGCTGCTGCCTTCCAGCTGGAGCTTGGGAAGCGGGGTGGAGAGCCAAGGAATTTCCTCTGACACAACATTCACGGGCTGTCAGTAGGAAACAGCCTCTCAAACTGGAAAACAAGAGCTGATTTCTGGCAAAAAACACAGCCGTGACTCAGCCCTTTTCGCTCCTGTCCCCTTTGATAATCCCACCGCCTGAGTGACTCACACCCAGCTGTCCCACCTGCCAAATTCCAATTCTTTCAGTTTGCAAACATCCTGATTTTCTTAAAAAAAAAAAAAAAAAAGGCATAGATTTGATGGACTCTCTCCAGAAGATGAGCTGAGGATGGAGCTGGATGCTCAGGACAAGAGCTGGACCCGGTGATGCTTTTTGGGACACATCGTGTGTGTTCCCTGGTCACTGACAGCTTGGGGACCTTCTCACAGGCTCTGCCCATGGAGGTGGCATTCCCTGACTTCTCCAGGAGACCCCTCAGCTCCTTCCCAGTGTTTGTAAGGAGCGTGGAGCTGAGGGAATCCTGCCCCTCTAAACCCTGGTGGAAAGGCTGCTTGCCTGGGAAGTGTTTGACCAGGACAAGCAAGTGGCTGCAGCAACTCCAGGCTTGCAAAGAGCAACTTGGAGCATTTCTGGGCATCTCTCCGTGGAAAGACACGGCAACCTGAGGCTGAAGGCTGTTCCCTTTCATTTTGGCTGGAAAACACTGATGCTGAGACCATCCTGGAATACCCAGGGGCGTGCTCTTGCTGCTTGAGCACAAGGGCAGGTCTCCTGCCATCCCAACACCTGGATGGAGGCTTTTGAGAGGACTGCAGGACCTTCTGCATGTGGGGCACGCCAAAACACATCCTGTGGGTTGGGTTGTCTTCTCAGTGAACTACCTCACTCTCACTGGTGTTCCTTGTTCTTCCTCTTCCCTCTTTCCTCCCACCATCCCACTCAGGTGGTGCTTCCCACAAAAAGGCATGTCCTGGAGAGCTTTCAGGGGCTCTGTGGGGAATTCTGTGAGGGCTCCACATCCAGCTCTTTGGGGAGAGGGCAATTTACCTTCTGCAAAAAGCAGGACTTGCTTTTGGGATGTTAAATTCATCCATGCTGCTAAACATAATGATGGAGCCTGACTAGGCCTGGGATTAATCTCGTGGCATCCAACAGTGCTAAATCCTGTTTTCCAGTGATGTGTTGCCCAGAAAAAGGACTTTCTTTTGTTTATTTGGTGTGTGCTGCCTGGTCATTTTATTTGGGGTTCCTTTGGCTCCTCCTTCCCAACATCTCTTCCCTGTCCCTGCTGCAGGGGTGTCTTCTCCACACATGTTGGATCCCTCTTCCTGGGTCCCATCAGGACCTGCCATCAGCTCTCCAGCGTGCAGGAACACAGCCCTGATGGGAAGCAGGGCTCCGGATCCTGTTTCCCCACGTAAGATTCCTGCTCCCCTGCAGGTTGTCGCTGACTAATCCCTGTTTGTGGGCTGATTGTTCCAATTAAGGTGGAGGAAGCCGTTCCACGAGGCAACGTCTCCCTTCTGCTCTTCAGCACGTCGGTGCCCCCCCACGGGTACCACATCCAGCAGCTGGAGCCCATGGAGAGCTACAACATCCGCGTTTCCTGCAGGAATGAGGTCGGCTGGTCGCCGTTCGGCCCCTGGATATCCGCCAGCACCACCGAGGGAGGTAGGAAACCAGGAGTGGAGACTGGGAAGGGTTTCCCTGCCCTGGGAAAAGCAGCTGTGCTTCGTGCAGGGCTGCCTGGATGAGATGCTGCTCCGGAGTCGTGGTGGCTCAAAGGGTTGGGAAAGGAAATTTCCCCATCGGCCATCACGGGCCTGAAGGAAATCCCATGGGATTTTTGGTCAGCTCCTGGCTGATTTTCCATCGGACTCCTCACCCATCCCTTCACCTCCTTTCCCTCCGATCCCTGCAGCTCCGACCATGCCGCCGCTGAACGTCACGGTGTCCTTCAATGAATCCAGCTCCTCGCTGGAGATCCGGTGGGTGAAGCCACCCCTGGGCAGGATCCACGGGGAGCTCCAGGGATATCACGTCCAGTACAGGTGGCAGAGCTCCAAGGGGATGGTGAGTCCCTGGGGAAATGGGGGAGAAGGGCTGAAGCCTAGGAAAAAAAAAATCCCAGCAGGGATGTCCAGATCGGTCCTGGTGCTTCCGTATATTCCTTTGGAGCCTGTTTGTGCTGCCTCGTGCTTCCCTCTGGATTTCTGCCATACAAACCATCCCTCTCCTGTGTTTGTGTAACTCACGGCCCTGCGGTCAATCCGAAGGCGCGTGGGAGAGCGTATTCCCTGGATTTTGAGTTGCTCCTTGCTCAGGTGGGATTTATCCCGTGCATTAACTCCTCTGCAAACCCACGGCACAGAGTTCCAGAGCTCGAGGAACACTTCGGGCCAAAGCCCTGGCTGTGAGTGCGTGAAATCATCCGGCAACCCCTTGCTTGCCTTTTCCAGGATTCGGGAGGCAGCCTGCAGGAATTTTCTAGGGCGAGGTTGGCCTGGCCTCTGTGGGCACAAGAGCCTCAATCCAGGCTCTGCCAGAGGGCAGGAGCCTCTGGATGACATGTCCAGCTGTTGCCTCTGTGCTGCGGTTTGGGCTTGTGGCAGCCTGAACCCGGCGTGGAAACTGTGACTCACCCCCTAATTTTGTAGGATGCTGCATTTTCTGTTCTCCTTTTGCTCCTCTGGAAAAAAAAAAAAACAAAAACAACAAACAAGAAAAGCCCATATAGATGCAGCCTGAATAAAGCCAGGGAAACAATATCCTGGTCTTGTGACCAGCAGGGAAAAAAAACCTGCTGACGGCTTTGTCGTCTGTCCAGCACAAGGGCCAAACCCTGCCCTTGCCCTTTAAGCCCTGGGAGACTGTTTTTTGTTGTTGTTATTTTTTCACCCATTTCCCTGCTCAAGTGCTTATGGAGGGAAATTTTCTCCAGTTCTCAATTTTAACAGGAGCCTGAGTCACGAGAGTGATGTGCTTTATGTGCAGGGGAGCTTTGACTCCTCAGAAAGTTCCTCCAAAAGGTTAGACTCGATGATCTCTGACGTCATTTCCAACTCTTATTTTGCAGAATCATTTTCACCAAGTCCCCAGGTTTTGGCCCTGGACAGGCTAAATATGGACTGCCCCAAAATAACCACGAGTTTTGCCAGGAAAAAGTCATGGTGGAGCTGGATCTCTGTGTCACAGGGCCACCTGCAGGTCTCTCCACAACCAGGAAAACTCAAAAAAGTCGGTTTATTTTGCTCTTAAACCGGCAGCTCCTGTTTGAGCCAAGGCTGCCGCATCTGGGATGTGAAGGAATTCCTCAACTACCACAAAACTCCTAAAAAAACCATCAAATTTGGCAGGTCTGCCCTGCTTTGTGCTCACTGTCTGTGACATCAGCAGGGTCTGTCCTCAGCTGACACAGCAGAGCCCTCTGGGACAGGGAAGGATCCCAGGGCATTTTTAGGCTGCTGGTAGGGAAAGGACCTCATGTGTAGGCTGGAGGAAGGCAGGAATGTGGGAATGGGGGCGACAGCAGGTCCCAGCTCCCACCACTACCCAGTGATGCAGAAATGCTCCCAGAGCTGGGGGGTTTCACATCCATTCCCGTGGCTTTTGTGGGACTGGGAACAGAAACCGGCTCCCTGTGAGCAGCTCTGATTCCCTTCTCCTCACCCACTGATGCCCCTCACCTCCTGATTCCCTCCTTCTCTCCCACAGATCCCCCTTGGCTCCATTCCCTCCTTCTTGCTCACCAATCCCCCTCATCTCCTGACTCCCTCCTGCTCTCCCACCGATCCGTCTCAGCTCCTGCTTTTTTGTGGGATGTCCACGAAGGAGCCGGGCTCTGCTGGGCACAGCCTGCCAGATGTTTTGATTGCAACTGGGCAGCTGTTTTGCAGCTGGAAATCGGCAGGAAATGCAGCAGCAGCAGCACTTTCTGAGCTGAAAACAACCAGGGAGCTGCAGGGAATTTGCAGGGAAAGACTCCCGTGTTTTTTCCCAAGGCCTGTGCTATGGGACACGCCGCCTCCTGCCACGACGCTGGGCAAGGAAGCAGTCCTTAAAGCTGGAAATATAATCAGCTCAACACAAAAACCACAGGCAGAAAATACCTGCCCTAAGATCTGCTTCCTGTTGGGCAGAGCACTCGGACAGTCCCACCAGGAGCGCGCAGGGAGCTCGGAGGCTCTGTGAGTGCTGAGGCTCACGGGGCTCCAGTGGCCACAGGGAGGACTGAGGGTCACAATCCTTGTGAGATCCCATTCCCACCCCTTTCCTGGCTCAGGCTGCCGGCGCTGCTGCTGTTGAGAAGCAAAGAGGGTCAAAACCACGAGGATTTGAACGGGAAATGCTGCCCGGCTCCTTTCCCGATCCCATCCGGCCCTCGCACACAGGGCCATTCTTCTCCCTAAATAGCCCAGTGCTGCGTTTCCTCCGGGCTGGGAAAGCAAAGCCATTCCAAAGGTTGCCAGGGGGGACAGTTCTCAGTGAATGCCTGGGTCTCCCTGCGTTCCCCAGCCCAGAGTGTTCTCCCTGTGCCGTCCCCAGCAGGACGTCTCTGCCGAGGTGTGGCTGAACTCCAGCGTGGCCGTGCTGCCCGTGGTGGCCACCAACGCCACCTGCTCCGTCCGCGTGGCCGCCGTCACCAAGGGAGGGGTGGGACCCTTCAGCGTTCCTGTGGACATCTTCATCCCCAGCACTGGTAAGGAGATGCCCGTCCCTGCCCCGGGGGAGCAGGGTGGGATGATGGGAAGCACCCAGGGCGTGCTTCCCGTGCCCGACCAAGCCCTTTGCCATCCCTCCATTCCCATTTGGACACTTCCCCTGCCAGCCAAGGAGCAGGGACTGCCATTTGGGAGCAGGAGATCTTGCTCTCCACGTGCAGCCTCGCTCCTCATTCCCTCTCCTCCCACGTAACTCTTCTCTGGGCTCGGCTCCAGCCCCTGGGAATTCCTCCCCTGAGCCCTGGGTGTTGCAGGCTGACTCTCCCACCGGCTCCATTAACAGGATGTTTTCTTAGGATTAATAACCTCAGCCCCATCTTTGACTCCAGCCTCTGGGAACGCCGACTCCTTTGTCGTGGCCCTGGGCTTTATCTGCGGGACCGTCGCTGTCGGGCTCATCCTCTGCTTGTCCGTGGTCATCCAGAAACGATGTGTGGAAACAAAATATGGGTAAGGGGAGGGAGAACTGGGCAGGTCCCAGGTGGGTGGGTGGCCAGCGGATTTGGGGACAAAGGTCTCTGTCTCCAGGACTGGTGGTGTTGCCACAAGTGGCATTTTTTATGGTGGGGGACTGAGTGTATTTTTGCTGCAGTGATGGTATTTCCTTCCCTTCCTTGCCCAGCACTTCACCTTTCGCTCACTATTCCTATTTCTAAAGGGAAGTGCAACTTGGTGTGGGAGTTGTTTTGACATGGAGGTGAGAGGGCAGAGATGTCTTCTCTGTGACCTGAGGGAACAGCTGGAGCTGTGTCTGGGGAGGTTTACATTGGATCTCAGGAAGAAGTTCCTCCCCCAGAGGGTGGTTGGCACTGAACAGGCTCCCCAGGGCAGTGGGCACAGCACCAAGGCTGCCAGAGCTCCAGGGGGGTTTGGACAATGCTCTCAGGGACAGGGTAGGATTGCTGTGTCCTGGGGTGTCCTGTGCAGGGCCAGAAGCTGGACGTGATGATCCCTGTGGGTCCCTTCCAACCCAGGATATTCCATGATTCTATAATATCCTGTGGCCTAGAGAAACCCCTCCTGCCTCATCCCATGTTCCAGTTCCATGGCCCAGTGTTGTTTAAATAACACAGACAGAGGGCTGTGTTCCCCTACAATAAGCCAACACTACTCACTCATCCTTGTGACTTCCCAAGTGGCATTAACTGCCCCGTGCTCCCAGTCTGGAAACTGGTGGTGTGTAAGGATCCCTTTCTGAACTGGTGTAGTGTTGTCACTCTTTCCCTGCTCCAGCCCCGGAGCATCCTGCCCTGTTTTTGCTCCCCAGAGCTGGACCTCAGCAGGGCCCTGCAGCAGAGGGGCTGTGCAGCGTCTCCAGCAGCATTCCTACCGGCACAGACTGCTCCTGGAGTAGGAAATGAGTATCCTATTTCCTCCCCAAAACCTCTGTGACTCACTCCTTGACACCTGGGCCTCCTTTATGGAGCTGCTGTTTTGCCGGGCCGTTGTATAGACGATGGAGCTGGTCCAGCCAGGGGGAAATGAAAAACGGGCATTTCCTCCTTCCCTACGGATCCCACGGGTAGCCAGTTCCTTCATCCAGGCAGCCACATGCGTCCCAGCAAGGTGTGTTTCTGTCCCACCAGGAATGCTCTCAGTGGGAACGACTTGGAGCTGGCGGTGAGCTACACGGCCAAGAAGTCCTACTGCCGGAGAGCCGTGGAGCTCACGCGTAAGGATGGCTTGTTATCCCTTTGCAAGGAGGTTCAGGGGGTTGGGGCAGCAGGTTGGAGGTGACTGAGCTGCTGTTCCCCTCTCCTGCAGTGGGAAGCCTGGGAGTCAGCAGGGAACTCCAGCAGAAGCTGCAGGATGTGGTCGTGGACAGAAATGCCCTGAGCCTGGGGAAGGTCCTGGGAGAGGGTGAGTGGAGAGCTGGGAGTGGACATGTGGGATATGGGGCTGCTGCTCTTCCCTACATCACCCCCAGCTCCAGGCCCAGGGGATGTGGGGAGATGGTGGGACAAGGCAACCAAGTGCCCTGGGTTCATAGAATCACGGAATCCTGGAATGGCTTGGGTTGGATGGGACCTTAAAACTCATCTTGTTCCACATCTCCTTGTTTTCACTGATAAGGAACAAGCCTTCCCCTGGCTTTTTTGGGGGATGAGGTCTCCATCTTTTCAGGGACATAGCGGTGTCCTGAAAGGCGGTGCTTTGGGCTGTGGATAAAGGGATTTCTTCTTTCCCGTGGCACAGGGGAGTTCGGATCAGTGATGGAGGGACGCCTCAGCCAGCCCGAAGGTGTCCCACAGAAGGTGGCTGTGAAGACCATGAAGTGTAAGTAATTCCCAGTCCTCCCAGGACTGTGTTTATCCCACTGGATGCCGGCATTCCCACTACCTCTCTTGGGAACAGCATCCTGGCACCAATTTGTGGCCCCTCTGCCACAACTCGTGGTGCCATCAGGGACACTCCTATCAGACATCCAAGGATGGTGGAGCCATCCTGGTGATCCCTTTCTCATGCAGGAGCTGTGCTGTGAGGGGAGGTGACAGCAGCAGTGCTTGGTGTTAAAACTCCTTCTTTTTCTCTGCTTCTCAGTGGATAACTTTTCCCAGAGGGAGATAGAGGAGTTCCTCAGTGAAGCAGCATGCATGAAGGACTTTGACCATCCCAATGTCATCAAGCTCCTGGGTATGGAATGTCACTCCCTCCCCTCCAGCTGGGATTTGGGCTGGGGAGCCTGGCCTGGATCCTGCACGGATCCATGGGAGACCGTGGTGCCTTTTCCAAGCTGTCTGTGTTTTTCCCAGGAGTGTGCATCGAGCTGAGCTCCCAGCAGATCCCCAAGCCAATGGTGATCCTGCCATTCATGAAATATGGGGACCTGCACAGCTTCCTGCTCCGCTCCCGGCTGGAGATGGCCCCCCAGGTAGGGAGCACCCAGAGCAGTGGGATCGGGGTGGGAAAGGATCCCTCTGCAGCTCCTGCAGGCTCGTGGTTCAAGGAATGGCCCAGTCTGAGGGATGAATGTCTGGAATGTCAGCTGGCAGCCCTGGACAGGGAAGCCTTTTGGATCAGCCCCCACGTGCTTCCCAAAGGCCTCACGCTGCCTAATCCCCACCTTCCCTTCCCAGTTCGTGCCCCTGCAGACGCTGGTGAAGTTCATGGTGGACATCGCCCTGGGGATGGAGTATCTGAGCAGCAGGAACTTCCTGCACAGGGACCTGGCGGCTCGGAACTGCATGTGAGTTTGTTTTCCTGGGAACACCGGCGGGAAATCCTGGGGATTTACGGCCCAGCTCAGCTCCCTTCCCTACAACCTCCCTCACTCTCGGGAGGCAGAGCTCAGCCCCGGGTTTGTGCTCCGGGATGGAGCTTTCCCTGGTTTCCCCCGGCAGGCTGCGGGATGACATGACGGTGTGCGTGGCAGACTTTGGCTTGTCCAAGAAGATCTACAGCGGGGATTACTACCGGCAGGGCCGGATAGCCAAGATGCCGGTGAAGTGGATCGCCATCGAGTCCCTGGCCGACCGTGTCTACACCACCAAGAGCGACGTGGTAGGTGGAGGAAAAACTGGGAACCAAACCCTGTGCTCCAGTTGTTGTCGTTCCCTGGAAGTGCCAGAGGGGCAGGAGGCTGTGGGTGACCTTTCCCTGCCGGCCCGGCCTCCTGCCGTGGGTTTGTCCCCACGGCTCGCCCCTGCCACGCCAGCGCTTGTTATTCCCGATTTTTGGGAGGGTGACAGCTCTGCCCGTTGTGCCTGGCACGCCGGGCAGTGACCTTTGCCCATGAAAAGGGTCATTCATTCCCCCCGGAGTGTCCTTTCAGCGCTGTCCTTTCCCTTTGTCCCCGCAGTGGGCCTTTGGCGTCACGATGTGGGAGATCGCGACGCGAGGGATGACGCCCTACCCGGGGGTGCAGAACCACGAGATCTACGAGTTCCTCTTCCACGGGCAGCGCCTCAAGAAGCCCGAGGATTGCTCGGACGAGCTGTGAGTACCGGAACCCCGCTCCCGGGCTCCACCACGTTCTGGATGAAAAGTATCCTGGGAATGAGCTCACAGATCCGATAGGTCTCCCAAGTTTTGATGTGCCTAAGGGAAGCCACATCCTGTGTCACCCTCCCTGTGTCACCCAGGGAGGGAAAAGCAGCTGAACTCCAGGCAACAATCCCAACAGGTGTCCCCCAGGGAGAAGTGATGGTTTTTTGCACAGACGAGCTGAAGTCACCAGGAGCAGTCAGGGGACAGGATTTTTTTAGTGCTTTATTTCTTTATTTTTTTGGTTAAGACAGTTTTAGCCAGAAGGTCCTTCCTGGCTGGTGATGCTCCTCTGTGCCCCACAAAACTCCCCTCTAGGGCCCTTCATGGCCTCAAATCCATAAATCTGGAAACCTCGAACCTGGATTTCTGAGCAGCTCAGCAAAGGCTTTTCTCCTGAGTTTCCTCTGGTGCCACTAGAGCTGAAAATGTTTAATCTCCCCATGGCTAAGAATCCAAACCGGATAAACTGAGTTGTGCAACGTTTCCTAAAAGGCTCCTCTCCAGCGCCTGTTCCTGAAGGAAGCGGCAAAGGAACCTTTTTAGATCCTGCCTGCCCGAGGCTGGGGAAGAGGTGTGTGCCCAGCTGGGACCTGCTGGGAGCTCCCAGTGCTCCCTGACATCCAGCCTGGGAGCAGGCACCTGCCAAGAGAGGGACTGGGCATCCCTGATGCAGAACTGGGATGTTCCCAGGGAACAGATCCCAGGGCTGCGCTGGGAGAGACTTGTAACACTTCTGACAGCAGCTTGGGCTGATCAGTCCCTGCCCTTTGGAAACAGCCCGAGCAGAGGGAGTTGTTTTCGCTTGGTTTTCATGGAAAGCTCAAGGCTTGCCCAGTTTGGAGGGAAGCTGGGAATTAACTCCCTATCTCCCTTAATCCAGAGAAATACAGGCTGCCGGAGAAGCTCTGGCTACCCCATCCCTGGGAGTGTTCAAGGCTAGGTTGGACAGGGCTTGGAGCAACCTGGGATAGGGGAAGGTGTCCCTGCCCATGGCAGGGGGTGGAACTGGATGGGCTTTAAGGTCCCTTCCAGCCCAAACCAGTCTGGGATTCTGGGGTTCTGGGATCCTCTGAGATAACCATGCTCCTCTCCCCTTTCCAGGTACGAAGTCATGTCTGCGTGCTGGAGAGCAGACCCTGCCACCCGCCCGACCTTTTCCCAGCTCAAGGTCCACCTGGAGAAGCTGCTGGAGAACCTGCCCAGCTCCAAGGGCTCCGGGGAGGCCATCTACATCAACACCAGCCTGCCCGAGCAGAGCCCGGACTCCACCCAGGATTCGGGCTTCCCGCAGGCGGA